GACAAAATAATAAGTCAACCAATAAAACCTGTAGTCATGACAAAATAATAAGTCAACCAATAAAACCTGTAGTCATGACAAAATAATAAGATAATGAACCAACCAACACATATATACAGAACACTTCCCATCTGCATACCATTAATTCATGTCAGATGTGGTATCGATTTGTATCTGAGTACCATTTTAACTCAATGCTACTTCGTTTCGAAGCTGTAATAATTCCTAATAACTGTTTATTGCAGCCATTTTTTATCTTCATGTCATTAAATAAAGATTTTTTTAGTCACCAGGGGATTTTACTATGAAGATAAAAAAAAAGATTAATTGTAACTAAATGAACCCAAACTGTTTGGTAAGATAGTTCTTCCTGAAAAAAAAAAAAGTCTGGTTACTGACAACGGTTAGGCTATCTATCGTGTTTCTTTAATTTATCACTGACTTACCCATCTAACTGGAAGGAACCGAGCTGAAAGGAGAGAAAGGAGATCTCCACGATGCCTCCGTAATCTCCTCCTTCAGCTACAAATGTAATCCGGCAGACGTATGGAAATGAGCGATGAAACGGTTTTGTCATACGTAAGGGATACTTTGTTCCAACGAGACCGTAGTACGTCCGGTTGCAATCTAAAGAGAAGTAGAAGAAGTGATAATTTGTTTTATTGAGGATTACAAAAGAAATGAGTAAAAGTTCCAAATATATGGCGTAAAAAATATTCCCGTAAGGTGAATTAGAGGTCGTCCAAATAACAACTTGGAGTTTGTGTAGAATGTTCGTAATATTGTACTTGATAATCAGAAAACTGAACACAAAAACTGTTAGAAAATATTAGGTAATTAGGCCTAATCCTATAATCTCGATAACTGAATTAGGGTCAAATGAGAAACATTTAATGTGGTTTTGAAACATATACGTATATGCTTGGTCACCTGGTACCTCAGTGGCAAGATTGGGAGCTTATAACCCTCAAACTTCGGGGTTTGATTCCTCTGTTTGGCAGAGCGCAACTAGATCACTGAGCAGTTTTGCGTTGAAACAATAAAACAAACAATATGTACAGGGTGTTTCAAAAGCAACAGAACTCAATAACAAAATGTGTATTTTTTTAGGAATTGTAGTGACAGTAGTAACAGTAATTTCCGCAATGAGACAAATCTGATTCACTTTACGCTTGTGTTTAGGTGTGTTATCTGAATAGGGATCGTTGTCAGAAAATACATTTTATCCACACATATTCTAGAGTATGATTAGTTTCGTCCTCTATATCTAACGGACAAATAAAAATAATTTAGAGAAAACAGGGTTAGTTTTAGTTTAGAGAAACAGGGTTAGTTTTAGTTTAGAGTAAACAGGGTTAGTTTTAGTTTAGAATAAACAGGGTTAGTTTTAGTTTAGAATAAACAGGGTTAGTTTTAGTTTAGAATATGCGGGGTTAGTTTTAGTTCAGGTTAAACAGGGTTAATTTTAGTTTAGAGTAAACAGGGTTAGGTTTATTTTAGAATAAACAGGGTTAGTTTTAGTTTAGAGTAAACAGAGTTAGTTTAGTTCAGGTCAAACAGGATTAGTTTTAGTTCAAATAAAATTTTTATTACCTTATTTCAACGCATAAGAGAATAAAAAATCTTAATTCCAATTATTTCTTTGTTGGTTTTTTGCAGGGCACGCACGCGACTTTTTTTCACGTGTAAACAGTAATGTAATGAGATTGCTTAAATTCGATCACTTTAGTTGTCATACGCTCAAGATAGAGTTACTACATTTCTAACCCAAAATGTTGTATCTTTGCTTACTAAATTTGATATTGAAGCTAAAACTTAACGTTAAAAAAGCGTCGTATTAATTTCGGATCTTAGTGAAATATTTCAAGATTTTGGTTACCTACAGACCATGTATTTTATGTTTAAAATTGAATTTTATTTCCAAATAAAATTTATCATTTTTATTGTTTTAGAACCTTTAAATACAACGAATCGGTCATATGCACAGAAAATAAGGTTTACTATAGACGAAAAGCTACACATTACAGAGATAATGTTTGTTTAGTTGAAATTAAGCACAAAGCTACACAATGGGTTATCTGTGCTCTTCCCACTACGGGTATCGAAACCCGGATTCTAGCGTTGTAAGTCCGCAGACATACCGCTGTGCCACTGGGGGCTACAGAGATAAAAATTAATAAATGGTTTTGTTTTCTCCGCCTTCCTGTTTAATACTAGTCATCCTTATATAGCTAAGGTTTAGATTTCGATTGCTCTTTTCATTTTGGTCTCCAATATTGTCCACCAGTGGATCAGCGGTAATGGTCATCCTTTTACAGCTAAGGTTTAGATTTCGATTGCTCTTTTTCATCTTGGTCTCCAATATTGTCCACCAGTGGATCAGCGGTAATGGTCATCCTTTTACAGCTAAGGTTTAGATTTCGATTGCTCTTTTCATCTTGGTCTCCAATATTGTCCACCAGTGGATCAGCGGTAATGGTCATCCTTTTACAGCTAAGGTTTAGATTTCGATTGCTCTTTTCATCTTGGTCTCCAATATTGTCCACTAGTGGTTCAGCGGTAATGGTCATCCTTATACAGCCAAATTTTACAGTTCGGTTGCTCTTTTCTTTATAGTCTCGAATATTATCCACCAGTGGATCAGCGGTAAGTTTATGAACTTACAATACTAGAATCCGGGGTTCAATTCTTTATGGTAAACACCGCATGGATAGCCTATTTTATAGCAGAATGCTTAAACACACCAACCAAGATTTCCAATATTAAGAAGAACCAGTTCAAGCTACTAAATTATTTTGTGTGTGTGTGAACCATATATTATGTCTAACTAAAAAATATTTTTTATTTACTTGTCGGTTATCTACCAACAGAAATATAGTTAATTCTCTTACAAGAAGAACGAATATTTGTTGTTTATTTAGAAAGGAAGGATGTAGTTAATGAATTTTGCTAAATTTACAAATAATAATACTAGTTAAATTATAGAGGCTATACTTCATAACGAACATCTGGTTCTATTTCGCAGTAATTCACCAAAACACACTCCATACTTCTCTATCTTTAAGAAACTGGTATTATTATTATCAAGTAAATATTCTTATTTATAACGTTAAAGTAATTTTAACATTATTCATTTATAACGTTAAAGTATTTTTAACATTATTTATTATCCCTGTATATTTTTGCAATATCTTTGTTTGTTTCAAAATTTGTACGCAAAGCTACACAAAAGGCTACCTGCTCAAATCTCTCTATATATTTGAACTGATAGACTAGAGGGCAGGCAGTTGGTCAACGGAACCCACCAACAACTCTTGGGCTGCTCTTGTTGTCCGAATAGTGGAATTTTACTTTGTGGTTTGCTTTGGATTTCGCGCATAGTTACTCGAGAGCTATCTGCGCTAGTCGTTCCTAATTTAGCAGTGAAAGACTAGAAGGAAGGCAGCTAGTCATCATCATTCACCGCCAACTCTTAGGCTACTCTTTTACCAACGAATAGTGGGATTGACCGTCACATTATAACGCCCCATAATTTAAAGGGCGAGCACGTTTGGTGGGACGACGATTCGAACCGCAACCCTCATATTGCGAGTTGAGTGCCGTAAACACCTGGCCATGCTTTACCTTGTGGGCTGTGGGTAAGTTCATACATGCGACAAAGAGCGTCGAACCATGAATCCTCGCATTCAAGATTCGAGCACGATAATTTAGCCCGAAATTTCGAAAGTAACCTGAAATTACGAGCACAAATATTGATAAAGGCGCCCTCTATTTGTTACATGCAGGTTTGAGTTTCCTTGCGGACTAACAATGTATACTTTTATTTTCGACAGTCCAGTGTTCTGGCAAACTATATCTGGCATACATAGCTTCATTTTAAATTGGGCACAAAAATAAACAAAAAATACATATTCTACTCATACTGTTTATAAGAATCCGTCAGACAGAATAATATTACATTTTACCGAACGTGTGTGAAATTTATAATCAGTACGTTGTAGTATCATTGTTCAGAGATAGGTGGAGCCCTGAATTGTATTTTTTTTTTTTTTTTTTGTTCAGTCTCCACAAATATCAAATAGATAGATAGAATACTTACTTGTGCATCCCGTGGGTTCATCACTTCCGTCTCCACAATCATCAGTCCCATCACAGAAACGGTTGTGGGTAACACAGTTACCGTTGTCACACAAGTAATCAGACAATCTGCACCCGCCAGTGACTGGAATTACAAGTAGACTAGAATACACCACAAAGAAAACAATGTTGAGTTCGGATCTCGCTGTGGAAGTGAAACCTTTCATGCTGAAGTCACAAGTAAACTGACGTCGATGAATTTATCGTGTACAGTTGCTTAACCATTTCGCTGGAAACGTCTCAAAGTAGGTTTGTACGTCTAGAAAATAAATCGAGAGAAAGGCTAATAAATCTTGTTGATTTGGTAACATCTTCTTTTCAACGTCAACGAAGCCTAATAAATCTTGTTGATTTGGTAACGTCTTATTTTCAACGTCAACGAAGCCTAATAAATCTTGTTGATTTGGTAACGTCTTATTTTCAACGTCAACGAAGCCTAATAAATCTTGTTAATTTGGTAACGTCTTATTTTCAACGTCAACGAAGCCTAATAAATCTTGTTAATTTGGTAACGTCTTATTTTCAACGTCAACGAAGCCTAATAAATCTTGTTAATTTGGTAACGTCTTGTTTTCAACGTCAACCGATGAAGCCACTCATATCAAAATGGTTCAAACATTTTCTTTGAAATTTCCCAAAGCAGAAAATAACTCTTTAACTTTATGGTCTTTCTTCCATCTAGCTGTTCTAATTCACTCTTGGGCTATTTATTTGAAAGTAAATTAGAAAGTTTTATGCTTATTGTATGCGAGAAAAACTAAGAAGTTTTAGGTTTGATTGTTATGTTGAATTTCACACAAAGCTGCACGAGGGCTCTCTGTGTTTTGCGTCACTAATTTTAAAACGATAAACTAAAGGGAAGACAGCTAGACATCACCACCCACCACCAACTCTTGAGTTACTCTTGTCAGACAAAATAGTGAGATTTGACTGTCACTCTTATAACGCACCCTCGGCCACGCTATACACGGCCGGCTGCTACAAATTATAATCAACGTTTTTCTTTGTTTAATGGTGTTGCACATTCCTGGTTTGTTGGTTGGTTGATTTGTAGTCCTGACCTGAGTAGATAGTTTGTTCTGACCAGAAGTTTTTGGTGATTAACCGCGATAGCGAAAGGAACAATCTTTCTCTCCTATTCAACAATTTTGAATCGTTACCAGTGAGAGACTGCGCTAATATCGATTTTATTCTCGCCCCCAGCGATTAAACAAAGTACACAAACGCAACGAAATATTCATCTAACTATTATGTCACTACTTACTGACCCAGTAAAAGCACAGATAACTAGTACATATACGCCCAGTAAAAACACAGGTAACACACATACACCCAGTAAAAACACAGATAATGCTCATATGCCCAGTAAAAACATGGGTAACACACATACTCCCAGTAAAACACAGGTAACACACATACTACAAGTAAAACACAGGTAACACAGATACGCCCAGTAAAAACACAGATAATGCTCATATGCCCAGTAAAAACACGGGTAACACACATACTCCTAGTAAAACACAGGTAACACACACATACTCCAAGTAAAACACAGGTAACACAGATACTTCCAGTAAAAACACAGGTAAAACACATACTCCAAGTAAAACACAGGTAACACACATACTTCCAGTAAAAACACAGGTAAAACACATACTCCAAGTAAAACACAGGTAACACA